GACATAGAGAATCCGGTTATTCTGGCAAAGTCCGAAATCCGCGGTAGTTATAACTTGCCCAGCTTAATCTTAATCAGAGACCAGGTGTACAGGCTGCTTCAGTTTCCTCATCAAAGATCTTTCCGATGGAAAATTGAGGAATAGCGAAGACCAACTCGCAAGGGGCAGCCATTCAGGCGCACGCCATAGATCGCTGATAGGTGTTACTGTTTTTTCTGTGCAAACATCTGACACCTTTTGTCTTCTTTTTTTATGTAAAGTGTGTAAAGGTCCCTTTACCATCCTTACTACTACAAATCAAGTTTACGGGACACAGACACACAACATTATTCCATGTTCTACTCACGCTCGTATCATGCCTCTGAAGTACATGTATACAGGTGCATGTTCTTACATGAGCATGGTTGTTATGGTGTCAGATAAAACAGCTAAAATCAGTGAAATAAAAACGATTCCTTGCTAAGGCCTGAAGACCAAACTGTAATATTCTGGGGATATTGCTCCATTTGAAATAGCAAGTAGATATCAATGATGCCCTGTGTGTCCAACTACATGCACGTGGACTTGAAGTTCAGACAGACTGTACACATGACAGATGTATACACGCTACATAGGGGCGCAGAACAAGTGTTGCATTTAATGGAAAGGCTTTCAAATTGTGAAACCAATTTGTGCGCATGTGCCAAGGAAAAGGGCAAATCTGTAACCACGGTTCAGAGTAGTCAATGGAGCGTGCTAAGGTTCAGGTAGCTATCAATTTGTCTACCTCGATCCTGTCAGGTAAACTCAATTTCCAAAGTTATTGTGGATCTCAATGCACTCGGGTAGCCAATGTAAAGTAACGTTCGAATGTTGTTTCCACAGGAATACTTCTTATTGGAACTCTACGTGTTCCCAGTAGACATTCACTGTATTCCTATTAAGAGAACACACAGTTCCCTAGTCAGTGTGCACAAAGACAACCAGTATTTCCATTCAGGAATATGTGCCAACCTTATACACACCTAGCGTGGACCCGTGAATGGAAAAGGTTAACATACTTGTACTGCAGGTTGTGCAAACCTTGTGTGGACCAAAGATCGTATAGCACCACTAAACGGAGCAAGATGGAGAACTTCACCATGAATACACAAAAAACGTTGTTATTGCATAGGCGCCATTTGGGTGGGAATACGCTATGTTAATGCAACAGGTGCAGGCACCGTGACAGGCACACACACCTGGTATGCCTGCGCCAACGTACACACTCAAATGGCGCCCATGATGATAACACCTTTTTGGCAGAGTTCTCCATTTTGCGCCGCGAAGCAGTGCTATACCATTTTTGCTGTGGACAAAGCTACATGTAAATCCATACAGGATAAATCTCCTTTCTGGAAACCAGTTTTAGAGGCTACTTTTAGGGTTGAGTTTTCTGTAGCCAAAAGAAGAACAGTCAAGGAGCCAACTACAGAAATCCAACTTAAAAGAGCGTTCACAGTGCCTGAAAAACGAGTATCTTCACCGACTTTTCATAACACGCCAAAAACAAAGGAATGTCTACACACTGGGTGAGTAACATAAACATGCATGCATTGTTCTAAATTGAAATATATAAGCGAGTGTTCCTAATTGGAGTAAGCAGTGTTCTCCAAGGAATATTCTGACTTATAAGATACTTCTTTTATGAGCTGGGAGAAAAGCTTATGGTTGGTTTGTGCAATGCGCAATGCCGGAAACCATTCCCCACTGATTTCAGCCTGGAAACCTGCCCAGCCTAAGGACACTTGAGCCCCCTGTTCAACAGCAAAAAAACCTGGTCATTTCAGTCAAATTTCCACCCACTTCTTGACGGCCAACTCCTCTCCCTCGTCATTCTCAGCTGTCTTCTCGTCCTCCGGATCCTCCGTGAAGTCGGACATCACTTCGTACACTTTATTCACCACCCATTCCTGCACTTGGTACTTCAAGGTGGGCTTCTTCGGTAGCGGCTCTGGAGAAAAAAAATCACCAACACAACTGATAATCCGCGGTAGATCCTCAATCGCATCATTTACTTATTCATTCTGTAAACACTTCATGCCAGATGACGTCTAAATGCCCAGGGAAAATAAATGCAGTGGATCTTTAAACACGTCCCAGCAAATTCTGTACGTGGTGCCCTGTGACGTCTTCACACTCAAATGATTCCCAATGAGTCTGCACACACACAGATGTTCGAAATAGTCAGTGGCGGTTGAGCACGTGTGGAGCCCTTAACCCCTTCGCTACGGAGGACTGCTACTACCGTACCATTGTGTGAGCATTAGTGCATACCACACATACAGTCTATTCACCATGCAGCTGCTGGTTCAATGGGGCCTGCTGCTGGACAAAGCCCTCCATTCAGGGCATACCACAGCCCAGCAGGCGCAGTCAAAATAATCCCGCCTTGAAGGGGTTAAGCGTCTATGAACCACAGCTTGGCATTGAAGCAACTCTCCCTAGTTGACAGTCTCAATGTTTTCAGAAGCAACAATGCGGTAAGCAACGTTGCACAAATCTTGAACAAATGACCAACAAGGTGTCAGCATTTACGAAGTTCACAAATTGACTGTGGGTGTTGAAGAAACCTTGTTAAATTGTAAATCAACCCCTAACCATTTGGGGCCCACATAATGTCCATACGTATTTCATCACAAAGTATAACAACTCACTCGGCAGGCTTTTGGTAACACAAACTAAAACAGAATTACATGCGCAAAAAAAACGGCCTTCAGTTCCACTCTAAGGATCCAGTCTCATTTACTTTCTTATCAAAAACAAATTGACTCAGAAAAGCTGCAAATTCACTGACACCATTATGAAGTATTACTACCCAAAGAAACTTGACAGTAACCTACGGATATCAGAGCTTGAAGGCAGGTCCGCAGAATCAGCTTCCACACCAAGTTCAACGGATGAAGGGTGCTCTTCAACACTGTAACTTCTCCTTGAAAATGAGAAAAAAAGTCAAACCATGCCGATACATCTCTGAGGGCATTTATAAAAACTAAACACATTTAGCCTTTCGTAGTGTGTCCTCTCTTCAGAGACACAAAAGTTACACACTAAATAATCCAAGAGAATGGAACTTATTTGAAGTTTGCTTGTTGAGTTTGTAATTTTGTTATTGTAATTAGCGTGGTTTAACAGAATTCAAAACCACTGAATTCAAAAATGAAAAACCACTTCCACGGGCAAGTGTGCAAATGGCAGCCAGAACCAAGTATTTGGCCACAAGAGACCATGTCTTGAGACAACAAGGTTGACTTCATCATGTGGTGAAGTGGCTGACAGAGTTGACAATAAGAGGTTCCAACTCTCAATGTTTAGATTTTCTTTCTGCTTTTGAACTTGAGGACTGTCCTGGTGATGTCCGGAACAGCTACACGGAATTTGGTTCAGTGGAACAAACTATGCTGGGCAAAACAGGCAGCAAATCAGAGAGTTGATGGATCATTCACATTTTAAATATTTGTCACTTCCATCTTTTCCTATGATTAAAAATCAAAACTAAATCCAGGGGGCCTCCAAAAAAAGGAGGGGCGGGGACCCTAAACAAGATGTTTTATTACTTCAGCCTACTGCAGTGTTGTAGTTAAGTCCCTTACGAGGCCCTGCAAGTTACTGCAAGTCCATTTTAAGCAAAGTAGAGAGCCATCCTGTCTCCAAACTAGATCGCAAACTAATTCAATTCAACTGTGACAGAGGAATTCCTTTTTCATAGTTTGCTTCCTGCCTATGACCGGCCTTATTGATGGACTTGGGAGTGGACTTGAGGCAGGGCTCGCTGTGGAATGCAATGGACTGCTTTCTGTGGGTACCTCTCGATGTTTTCCAGTTGTTGGTGTAGTTCGTCGCATTCCTGGGACAGCTTGGTACACCGGTCCTTCTCTCGGTCCAGCATCTGCAGCACCTGAGTCATGTCACTGTTGGCCTTGAATTTGCCCAGTTCAGATTCTGTGGGTCAAAGAAAGGGGTCAGTGGTCAATGAAAAGGAAGCATAACATCCCCAGTTTGTGAACAATAATATGTTGTCTGATATCAAAAAAATCACATTCGGGTTCACTTTTGCACCAAATATGAACCGGCCTCAAATGGTCCCAGAGGAAACCACTGTGTTACATATTTTTGCATCGTGCGGAATACGGCCGTTTCACAATAGTGCACCACCAAGAGTTTGCAATGCATTGGCCAATCACAATGCGCAAAATTTGTCAACTCAATGTGGGTTTGGAAAGGGTCGACAAATTTTGCGCGTTATGATTGGCCAACGAGTCGCAAACTCCATTACGGTGTAAAATAAGCCCGAGACAACAGACTTAAAAGCCTTCCTACGTAGTGTCTGGTTCTGTATCATGGTGTCCACTAGCTGCTCTTGGAGTGTCCTCAACTGCGTCTCATAAATACTCTTCTCATTCTCATCCCATTGGCTTGTCTTGGAGGTGACCGCCCCCGACCTCTGATGGGACTCCTCAGGCTGCCGACCCTGACTGTTTCTTCTCTCCTTCTGGAATGAAGACCAAAATTTAAGAAATTGGAGCTTGAGCAGTGAATTAACTTTGAGCAGTCCAAAATAACTTGGTCCCAGTACAATGTTTGCTGCAAGTTTTAAGTGAGTTCACAGGTTTGTTAACATGGCCTCTCACCAGCCAATGGGGGATATTTGTAAATTTGGCTGTCATTCTCATCAGCTAGCAAGAAGGGGAAGGAAAAAAAAGACGTCTCTTATGCAGACCTTTCAGTTAGTTTTTTACGCATTTTGCAACAACTTTGACAATTGTGATCTGCTCTATGGAGATAATTCACAAGTCACCGATATCACTTTTGAATACGAGTCTTTAAAGTATCTCGCACCCTGGAAACCAATAGGAATAAGTGATATATCAAAACAAAGAGCTAAGCTTGTACTTTCTAATGCAAACTGAAACAATATTTCCCAAGAATTGACCTTATGACTCATTTTCACAGAGCAGGGAACAGTTATTAAACATTTGCTGGAACCCAAATGTATTGATTTAAAATTGAGCATTAACGTCTATTCTTGGCATGTACAATACTAAGAGTCCTATACTCTTAGAGAACTCTAACTCTGGGTCATTCTATGACCCAATTTTTGTGACGGTGTCAATTGTTACATGGGTTCTGAAAAATGAACAGCTTTTTCCCTACAAGTGGATTCCAAAATGACATTGTTATACATCTTGCAGGGCTGCATACAGAGGTGTGTGTTATTTTTACAGAGTAAATGACCTGCTCTACAGGTCATGACAGGTGGTAAAAGTTTTGGATGTGACAAGGACACCGTCACAAATTGTGCCCCAGCCTCAATGAATGACCCAGTTAACACCAAGGGAAATGCTGACATAAGGAGGAACTTGATGGACGGATTCACGCATGACATAAATCTTGCGGAGTACACTGACATGGCACACTTCAACATTTCCCTTAACTTTCCTCATGCATCTTTGAAAAAACCTCTTTGTTGAACCTTCATGAACAATTTCAGTGCCATGAAATTTCTTGTGAAATTCGAAAAAATGTGGCATCAAGAAATTAGGCACAAATTCAGCTATCAAAGTGTGATCTAAATGCGCAATTAGAAATACCAAAACCATTACCATTAAAGAAATTCTTCGAAAATAAATTGATAAATCATTATTACCTCCACTCACATACCTACCGACGAGTTTGAAAGAAAGTTACTTTCTTATTTTTTGGCACATTTTAAAAGAGTTCATTGTGCAGTTAAAAAATATTGGAAAATCAGGTGAAAATAAAATTTCATTGGAAGTTTGTGGCAGGTTCATTAACTCAAAATTTATGAACAAGAATGTTGAGAACTTGATGAAATTTCGGACACATTGAAAAACTTGAGGTAAAAATATTGCTCTCGCAGGGCACTGGAGGCAAAAAATCAGACTGCACCACCTACCACGTAGGGGCTGTGCTACATTAGGGTACATAAACAATCATTTTGGATTAGGCCTACCTTCCTCTTGGTTCCTGGTGATGAAGGGTCCCCGGATGCCCCTTCTCTGTCATACTTTTTCCTGCTGGCTGATGGCGACCCTCCCTCTGCTGCATGATCGCTCAGTGACTGCTCTTCCGTACTGGAATTGATGTCGTCCGACCCCGAGGAGGCGAGAACCTCGGACGAGGTGGAGCCCCGCTTCTGGAGGGCTCCCTCGGTGGGAGGAGCCTGCTTCTGGAAACGACTGCGGAGGTGGGCCCTTAATGACATGGCCCTGATAACTGCTCAGTTGCATGTTTAAAAAAATGGAAATGTAGGTGGGTGAACTCAAGGGTCATCACAGACACATGATCAACAGGTGATCAGGATACATCTTGGCTCTAATCTCATTTGGGTAGCTTGGACCCGACAAATCATTAAAAATTCTAATGTATAGGCCTACAAGTATTAAAATGATCTAAAATTCTAATGAGGGTGACAGTGACATGAGGGTCACATGGCAAGTTACTGCTTTTCAACAAAAGTAGGGCTGTATTCAAATAGGCCTATTTCTTTCCAAATTCAAATGTTCGAAGACACAACAGCGTAGGCCTCTCCATGGCCTCTCTCAAAATCAAACTGCAAAATCAGGCCAAAATAGAATTTCATTAGAACTTTGAAGTGCTAGTAGTAGTACTGCCAGGCAAGCCTGCATAACCCAAAATTTATTAGGCTTAATGAAATGTCACTGATTGTGAAATTTGAGGTCAAAATATTGCTCTCGTCTCGGTGTAGAAATAACATCATGCGGCCACGGCTAGGCTGGGTAAGCCACCTGACGCGCGTTCATGCCTGAGTGACGTCCTGACATGCCACTTTTGCCAGATTACAGGCCTTATAAGTTACGTTAATCATTGCTAATAATTTGAGAAATTGAGGCACTAGACACACCCAAACCTGGCAAGTTACAGTCGGAACTAGTTTATCTTTCTGGTTCCGAGAGAGAAGCCTCATCAAGAATGTCCGCAAGGTGCTTAGTGTAGGGCGGGTAGGGGCCACTTGTATGTAAACATGTTTTGGTACTTACAGTACATGCGATGCGTTTTACGTTTGACCAGTAATGCTAAGTTTTAATAGCGCCACCCAGAGTGGCATAGGGACAGGACGTGATCGTGACGTTATCGTGTATTTTTGGAATGTCTCAAACATGGGTGTTGGCAGCTTATTACCGGGATCCAAAGCACTTTGTTAAGGTAGACAAAGGTCCAGGGCAAAGAAGTCACCTGCAGAAGACTGATGAAAGCGAATTGGTGACAACCCGCATGGTCCCTTTCGTTTGGTTTTTCAATATTTTCCGGGGGACGCGGGCCTTGCCCCCTCCTCGCAACCCAAATGGTCTCAAGTTACTTTTCCTTTATTACCCGCCCGGCCGGTTCCAGGTTTATAAAGTTGAGCATAGCACTTTTACCTCAACGTGGATAACTTATTTGAAGTTCAGTAGTTATTTTCAATATCCTGCAATATGAACAATTTTGAAGGTTATTAAAACAAAGTGCTATTGCGGTTTCACTTTCTCACTCCGAGTCTGAACTGAGAAACGGTGACCGTGTTCCAAGTCCAGTGAACATGTCATGGCGTGCGACACATTCTCACGAATAGGTATTTTTGAAAGAAGCCTTCAACTATAATTACATTTCCGAACAACAACTGTCTCCACACAGGATTAGTTAATAATTTTATGCACATGTTTATATACTGCATGGAACTGCAGGGACGGAGAAAACAGGAGCAAGTTTCAGATCCATGAACGAAACTTACAAAGACGTCACAGTCAGTCTTTTCGACCACATTGATTTACTGTGTATTAATTGCTTCACTTTTTATGCCTTATTCAAATGGCAGAACGTATCTCAGCAACGTTTCGTCCCCCTGTCCGTTTCTTTCAGTTCTTTTATGCATTTTTTAATGTCCATATAGCAAACTGATATTCACCGTGGTTGGGGCCAGTGTACCGAGATCGCAAGACAAATGCTGTGATTCTAAATTCTTAAAGTGGCACTTGATACCCATATCCTCTACTCTGTGTATACAGAAAATAGAAAAGTTCTTGGGAGGCAGCGTAAAATTAAAATGTAGCATTTCAGCGGTCTTTATTTCCCTCGAAAAATATGATCTGAACTCAATTTTTTAAATTATTATTATCTATACATTCTCCTAAATCGAGAACCTATAAAAAGTCAGTATCATTTTTATACATGTTTATTCTTTTGCACAGAATGTAACTGCCATCCCCCTAAACAAAACAAAACAAAGGAAAGGAAAGGAAAGGAAAGGAAAGGAAAGGAAAGGAAAGGAAAGGAAAGGAAAGGAAAAGAGAAATATAATACATCTATACACAGTGGCGTAGCCACGGGGTGGGGGGCTGGGGCACGTGCCCCCACAAATTCCCAAGGTCAGAGTGTCCGGTGCCGCCCCCCCCCTACAAAAATAAAATCCTGGCTACGCACCAGACCGTCAGAGGGCCCTCTGTGGCATGAACTTGCCGTGACATTATTGCTCTGGCCATGTGTATAACTCTTTAACTCGCATAAATAAACCATTGTTCATTAATACAGCCCCTCAGGTTCATTAGTGCCGAATTTAAAGGGGGGAGGAAGGTCACTGCTCCCCGACCAGATCGTTTAGGAGCGAAAAACAAGTTAAAATTGAGCTGTTTGATCCTATAGGACAATGAAACTCCGACCAATCGAAGACGAGTGTCCCATCGAGAAAAGGAGAACGCCTCCCCCTCCCCGGCGTGCGCGTAGCCAGGGTTTTACTTTCCCATTGCAAAATTCGCGTACTCGTTCTTTTCAAGCCATTTTCACCGTCCCAATTTTGCTTCTGAAATCTCCATCCCGTTGCATCCCCCGCTACGCTGCATGCCTAGCCAGGAATCCAGCAATGCGATGTGCTGACGTAGGCTTATCTATAGCTGTGCTCTGAAAAAAAGCAGCATCTTCTTCCACGCGGCATACAAACCATATAGGAAATTGCCGCGAAATTACATGGAACGATCCATCAAAATAATGCAGGGAAGGAAATAAACCCACCCTTGCAACCCTGAACAGGTCTCACCTGACTTGCGTTTGCATCAGAAAAACAATCGGGTGTACATTTAGAGATGTTATTTTTTCTGTATAAATTGGGGAGGGCCTAGGGAGAGTTAGTCTACCACTGTCGTTTTGAGAACACGCGCATCATTTTAAATGAGATGATGACAAGGGCGCGTATATAATAAATGTCCGTCTTTGCGTACTCTGCATCACACAGTGCAGTTGCAAGCTGAGGTGCTGTCATCCGTCCAACGTGCGGCTGCATCATCATGAATGACATGCTAAACTTGTGCATCAGTAGCGGCGACGCGGCCGGTGTTGGCATTGCGGGAAACGGCCCAGTCGTGCCCTTGTCTACACCAGGTTTACGGGATGGTGAGGCATTGGATGGGAAATCAGTGACGGGAGATGTGGAGACCAACGAAACAGTCCATGCAGACAGAAAGAGGTAGGGTGTGTGTAAAAAAAGAAAAGCAGCTCAACATCATATCACAATGAATCACTGAGGAATTACAGGTTGGAGGAGGAACTCATTTACATGGGACATGCAGGTGTCGTGTGGACTTTGTGCATTCCAGAATTGTCGCATAGGCCTACTCTGAAATACTGCGGGAAAGGGGTAGAAATGCAATCATTCTAAGTAGCTTATGAACGTACCGTCGTCCGATTTGCTATTAAAATCCGCAAAAAGGTTTAACTGGAAATGGTACAGCAGGCCTAATTATATTTTTTGCACCATTAATAATCTGGACAAAGGCATTATTTGCCTGTGGTCTCCTTCTCAAATTGTAAATAGCACGGATCACAGGAGCCGCTCCCACCACACCCTGTCTTTCTAGAGCAGCTTTGTCCGATTTATACATTTATTTTTTTTTCCCCAAGAATAAAAGATTTGCCACATCACAGTTATCTTTGTGGTTCAGTGTGCCCGGTGTGTGGTACATCAACATGCACGCAAATTTCCCAACGTCCTCAAGCGAGCACAGTATCGACTACTCAAAACCTTGAAATCTGTCTTTGTATTCGGTTTTCGAAATGTGCGCCGAGTAAGCTAATGAGTGATTGTGCGGTACTGGACTATCGATCGCGATCGTTACTTTACCCGCTCTTTTCGTGGCGCGAAATGCGCAGGCGCTTGTTTTCTCACAGTCGAGCCCAGCCAGGCCTATAGCCTGCGCCTGTTAACGTACTGCATGCGACGTCGCGTAACACATCACAGCACGTGTCAAATGGCCTCGAATGTTACCATTTGTTTTTAGTCTTGCGAACGCCTAAAAAATCGTCTTTTTTCGTTTTCTCCTATATTAAATTAGAAAAATGGCTGACTACGTTGGTGAAACGCCACATCCCGCCATCGACGATGGACTCCCAGGATCAACGCTATTTGCATCGGGTGATGGACTGACATACAAGTAAGAAAGAATCACGCCACATGCAATGTACATATATGATGTAGGCCTACTATAGCATACATGTAGGCCATGTACATGTACGTGGCACACTTCAACTTTCACTTGACTTTCCTCTCACAGCATTGCCAAACCTTTTCGCTGAAAAACTCAAAAAGTCATTTGGTTGAATGCTCGTACTATTACCCTCATGATACATGGTGTTGAATCTCTGTTTACAATTCCAGTGTCATGAAGTTTCGGCTGAAATCCAAAAATCTCAGCGTCCGGAAATTGGGCATGTTGGGCTCACATTCAGCTGAGTGTTCCGTCATGTGGCCCACTTGGAAAAATCTCAGAAAATTCTACACAAACACTTTTGAATTTCTTTAAAGTTGATAAATTCTTGTAGAGCAACATTCCGCCCACTCATGTACCCATGCACAAGTTTGTCAGAAAATTATTTTTGTACTTTTGAACAGTTTTGTGCACATCTTGAAATAATGAAAGCCTTCATGTTGCCATCGAAACAATAGGAAAATCGGGGCGAAAATAAACATTTCATCAAAGTTTTGTAGCATGTATATAAATCAAGATTTTGGAAGTAGAAATTAGAACTTTGATAGTTCGATGAAGATTCATTTATTGTGGAATTTGAGCTAAAAATAGGCCTATTGCTCCAGTCAGATACAAGAGGCAAAAAATGAAAATGCGCCACGTTTGGGGCCGTGCCATGTAAGGGTACATCAACTATACAATGTAGGACCTACATCTGTTAAGCTCAATCTGGTGCATATTTTTTGTTTTCCATCCTGAGTTGCTTTGCCTTTGAATAACATCCATTCATAGGATAATCAACTCAGATGGAGTACAATAAATTTGAAAAAGGTTAAAGATTGCGCTTAACACCTCCATGGAATGAACTGCAACGAGGCGCACCACACAAAGTGGGCCCGTGGTCTGGAAACGACACACCGCTACACATGTAAATCCCCATTCATAAAAATGTACGCGCAGGGAAACTTTCCATGCAAGACATTTGTCTCAATACGCTTTCGCGATTGGAAAATCAGCCTGAAATATCCAAAGCTTTCAAACAAATGCTGTCTCCTTCCTCCGTGCAGCTGTTACTATGGTGAAGTGCAAGGAAAGAGTTCCATATACAGACATCACTTGACACCCAGTGCACAAACCCCATGAGATTGGTCTTAAAAATTCCAAGTGTTGTCTGAGTAAATGCTTCCATATTTTCGCTCCTAAACATGCTAAATTTGACATTTTAGGGCTTCTGATGGCTAGTTAACCACTCTTAGGGGAAAGTACATGTAGTGATGTGCGTATATGGAACTCTGATCGGTTAATCAGCTCAGGAAGGAGTAGCGTAAATTTGCTCAATTGTCAAGATTGCGCTTGACACAGCTATTGACTAATTTTTTTTTTGTTTTCCTTAGGCCCTATTTTTCAATTGATTCCATCATTTAATTACAGAGTCTTACATTTTCTTTTTCTGATTCATGGCTCTGGAAGAACCGGTCCTCAATTCTGTTTGAATATTTGCTAGCATGGCACTGAACATGCACATGTGTTTTGTCAGACTTTAACATTAAGGAGACAAATCTCCATTAACCTGGGGTCAAAATGTGCAAGGCATTATCCCCTCCTCTGTCTCAGAATAATTTAGATGGCCTTACACATATGTATGGGTGTGTACAATCAGGATAAGGATCTGTGTAGGAACTGCCTGGCCAAGATATATGTCGGGCACAGTGAGAGACTTTGATATGCTTGATGGCGGCAAACATACAGGTCCCACACGGCCAGTTCACTTGTGTTTACAGTGTGCTTTAACTCCTTCGCGCCGGGACGCAGCTAGAAATGCCGTAAAAATTGAGATCCTCAACCCGCTTTTCAGCTATTATTCTCGGCTCACGCTCGAGCGAACTCGGTGAAAGAAGGCAGACCCTGGCTCTTTGTATATATGGTAATTGGCCTTTGTGTGTGGCCTAGAAATGAAAAGAACGAATTTGCATCATAATCACCAGCTTCACAATAGTCTCCACTTTGAAAAGAGGCAACGGGAATGTGGAAGCGTGAGTAGAGCTGCCGAACAATCAGCCTTTTCAGCGTGTAATTCAAAGCGTGCAGAGCACGCAGGGTCACAAACTGAGAATTTGCGGTTTGGCAGGTGGCCTTCGTGGCCAAGAGAGTCGGCTTTCGGAAAGAAATTCCCGGTGCGAAGGGGTTAATTGATGCACTTGCTCAAAATGGTTGTGTGTACACCAATCATACATTGCTGCCGGTACTTTTCGGTCTTGTTAAAAAAACTAGCAATTCAGCTGTGAGTGTCATCAGTCGATCACCCTTTTTTTCTGATTTACCGCTGACGAAGTTTGTGTTGAAATGATGTGACAGGCAGCAGCAAGTTAGAAATTCTTCAAGGATTGTTACCGTTACAGGCGACTTGTGTCACATGCATATGTACATGTAGCATAGTGCAATTAACCAAGAGCACATGTCTACCAATTGAGCCCAACCAAATATGGGCAGGGATGTTCATGTACTTGTATGGTTCTAAATGGAGCCACCAAGATACACTTTGTACCGTACTGCAAACCATTTAAGTAGCATTGCTGTCCACTCAGATCAGCCTACAGTCCTGATAAGTTTGTTAATGGTTCTCACACATTTGTTGGTATGTGCTTTTTCCCCAGTGACTTTCTGATCTTACCAGGGTATATTGACTTCACAGCAGATGAAGTGGTAAGTACTAAAAAAGCAGCAACCTCAATGTTCACTTGTTGATGTATGCGTTGTCCCATGGCCTGCAGCTCCAGCCATCGGACTTTATCCTCCTTAAAATCCTTTTTTCAAGGGGGGGGAGAATTTATTTTTTTGAGCTTCAAAAATACAAACAAATGAGGAAAGGTGGTTCAGGACCTGGTGGGGAGGTTCTTAAATGTAGGAGATTGTTGAAACAAAAAAGTAGGGTAAAGGTGTTGATGTTACTGGCACTCATAAATTGGGATGGTCCGATATGGAATTCTTGGCCTTTTCTATTGTTTCATTGTACATTTTGGCCAATCTTAAGCTCTTGAATTAGCATAGAATTTCTGTTCTATCACCTTGGGCAAGTACAGAATGCTGTAATTAGGCAACGCTTTTATTTTTCAGGTGAAAGATTTTTTTCTTCTAAAGGAAACAGTATTGGAGAAGAGAGGAAATGTAAAAAACAAAATTCACCTGACACAGTATTTTTCAGTTTTTGCTCTCAGCAAAATCTTTCAGATGTAGGGGAAGTAAAAACATGAGGACATATTTTAAAGCCACATGCAGTAAGATAAAAACCAGCTGGGAAAAAATTATTTCACTGTCTTGCACTTGTGCTGATGGAATTCAGACTTCCATGTAATTTCTCTTCTGGTACCTTTCTCATGTGAAACAACATGAAGCACATGTGAAGACAAAGGCAAAAACCATCTGATCTTGAAGCCTGTCATGAGTTGGCTCAAATATCCCACTCCACAATGCCTCAACGCTAACTTCCACTGCTTGTCCAATAATGCTACCTACATGTACATACATGTACATGCAGATGTGCATGCTGTGATCCGCTCCAGGAAAAGGTGATATACAAGTCGCACCGTGCATTTATGAGCAATGACCCTCTCAACGTTGGATTCAAAAATTCCTTTTTCCGACAAAGTCATTGAAAATACTAATTCCTTAGTCCTTGTGCGATTTTTGAAGGTGGTTGTAACACAAGAACATGTTGGTTGCTAATGTAAATGCCTACAACCCACATCAGAGCCAGATATTTCAAAGCCTGTTTCCTCGGTTTTGCAATGTCAATTGCCTAGAACTAATTGATATGCAAATGTGTCATAACTCCGGAACGGGAAAGGCTACTGAGCTCTATCATATATCAAATGGAAGCTTACAACGTGGGCTTTCCATTCATGTAAATAACTTTTTACATTTTTTTTTTGCAACTTACATCACCTTTTTCTGGAGCGGGTCACAGTACATATATGTGAAGTGATGCTTACACACATGGCTATTGGAATTGGTTTCATCCCAAGCTAGTGCCAAGATTAATTTTCATTTGCACAAGCTCAGTTCTGTGCCATATTGCTACATGTAGCCTCTCATGTTGTCCACACCACAGCTACGGGGAGGGGGGTACAGGTATACAGTGTATTGTTTATTTGTAATGAAACAAGGACAGTATGTGGCCTGAGGAGCTCCAGAGCATCTGCCTCTTGTAATATTTTGCTTGCCTGGTTGTATTTTAAATTTTACTTGTTAAATATTTTTGGACAGTGCAGTAAGATCACTGGTTTGGCAGAAATGCACAGAGAAAAAAAGAAATTGTGAGCAAGGAAGTTTTTTTTTTAATTTTGCAATTCAAAGCAACAAATTCAAAAGTCCAACAGTAAAACAAAACAATTCATGGCCCTGTCAGGGCTCTTTATATACATGTACATACGTGTACCTGTATGTGTACTGTACTACCAACCTCCATGTACATGTAGACGTATGGGAGATGTTGTAACTTTCATGCTGTCTGCAGAAATTTTGAGCCGTTCCCTGTGAAGTTGATTAGTTGCCGTGGCACCAAACTGGCAGCATTTACAGCCATGTACAGTCATGTTGCATGGTACTGTATGGCATTTTCAGTTGTCGATGATGTACATGTACCTAGGCAAGTGAAATTCATTGAGCAGTCATAAAAGCCACACACTCTTCTCACTCGAAAGCCTTACTCTGTGGCTCTTCATTGTATTGGTTTTTCAAATTTTCATTTGATTAATGAAATGGCAGTCAGTGTAGAGGCCACAAATATTCAGCAACTGGCCACTGAAAAGAGTTGCTCTTTTGAAAAAAGATATTGTCTTTGAACAGGTACAAAAGAGATAATTAGATCTGGTCTAAACGCGTGCATGCATGTAAAGTCCATGGGGATTTGTCAATGCCGATCCTGCTGAAAAGTCATTTTGAAAACCCACAAAGATTGGCTCAGTCTATTTCACTCAAATCAGCTTCAGGAAGGTATAACCAAAGAGTTTCTTAATGCATTTCTAAAGGGCATTAAAGCTTGACACAAGGGAATACTTGCATGTGTTATGTGAGATAAATGGTCATACATGTACATGTAAGTGTGCATGTACATGTATGCATTTCAAGATTTAATTCACGTGTATTCCACATTTTCTTAATTCATACATTCATAATTCATTATCCTCAGTGCATTTCTCCATTAAAATGTACTTGTCTAGAACACTAGGTGGTGACAATTTTCTAATGGTTTGCATGCTATCTGTAATTATAAAGAGAGTAAATTACAGTGTATATCTGAACTTTGTTGTAGGATCTGACCTCAGCGCTGACCAAAAAGATCATCTTGAAAGCTCCCCTTGTGTCCTCGCCCATGGATACAGTGACGGAGTCTTCGATGGCCATTGCAATGGCGGTAAGCATGCATGATATGTACATTGAGCACGTGTTCTGCAAATTTACATATTAACTCCAGTAACCAGTATTTCAGGGGGAAGCGACCTGGCTTTTATACAAATTCAGTGGTTGAGAGGTCCGTATAGGCATGCCTCTGCATTTTCAGCATACCATAACTACAGCTTGCATGTATTTTAAAAGTACAATTGCCCATTTGTCATTTATGCATCATGTTCCTTTGAGGTAACAGCATTTTAGTCAAAATCTTAAGAGGGTGCCTATCGCAGGAACGAACCTGGTGAAGTTTCAGCTCGGTTAATGCTGTATATTCCGGGAAAAACAGTATTCTAAGATTTTGATTTCAGATCAAAAGTTGATGAGACATGTTGTGAATTTCACCTGAGTGTAGTGTCTCAGACACATTCTCATGTTCAAAGGCAGCAATGTGATGTTGTGCACTGAACCAACGAATGATAGTTTTTGCACACACGTGTGTCATGTCAAAACTTGCGCGTGCATTTAACAGCAATTTTCAGAATGTGGTGCCCTCAAACATACATGCATTGTTGGAAACGGTCTTTTGTTGTTTTCTTCAAAATGACAGCTTGCCAGAAAGAATAATTTCATTGGGAGTTTAGTCCCATAACCATATTTAAACAAATTATGCTTTTCAACAATAATTTCGTCAGTTACTTATTGGATAACGGCCAAGGATGGACTGTACTGTACCACTAATGGTTTTTGGGTCCAATTTTGACAAGGATGGACAGGACCATTAATGCATTTTTGTCCAATATATACTGTAGTATTTAAGCAGCTTAAATAAAACCTGCACTTGCCTTCCTTCATACGTGTACATAAATTACGTAAAAGATGCATGCAGCGTGCACGTGTGTGTGTACATGTAGCTCTGGTACACTACATGTACATGTACTTTTGTCTGATACTGGTTGGCAGAGTAGTCCATTGTCACACTGATTATGCCATAAAATATGCTCAACTCTAAATGAGCCGTCACGTACAGTAGATGCACGTAAACCATATGAACAGAGTCCTTTTGATACTACACAAAGAAGTGTTTCATGTACATTGTACATATCTTCATATGTATGTATTATGCATGTACACAAGTTTAAATACAGTATTCCCCATCTTTAAGGTTGAATGCGGTGTAATTTGTGCATTGAATTAATTAATGCATCTTATTTATGAAGGTACTCTTCACACGGCTTTATGTCAATTCGCAGAAATGATGAGCGCAAGAACTGGTAACAGTTCTGTGGAACATGCAACTTTTATACACCCTAGTGGCATGTGACACCTTGGGAAAAGCCAAAGGTCTGATGCGTCCTTAAGGGGGTGAGAAAAAGGCCACGCACATGTGCAGTGTAAAGCAGTTTGGCAATTGTTAACACCACGGTAGTTAAAGAGTTAGGGGTTTGGCTTAGTTGGCCAGAAACTACCGGTGCATGCAAGGGTGACCTTTACATGTAGTTCCTGTCAACTTTCCTGCAAAACATGATGAGATACAGAGATTGAAGAAATGTTCCTTTGTGCCGGGAATCGTGTAGCACCCGCACACTGAGCTCAACAACTCAGGCTGTGCCGTGGTGATTTTATCAAGTGATACAAGGCCCCGTGTGATTGAATAATGTGCATGCAAATGATACAAATGTGCCAATTTCCCATGTGATCATTTAAGCCTGGTCTATATGATGATATTTGACGATATTTCGATATGATGTTGATATCGTATTGTTCGTAAAAACACGTAGCGGGATATCGTGTAAATCGATATGCCGAAAATTATCGCGATAAGCTCCAAATGATGTTCTGGTACTGTACATGCCCATAGGGAAGTCAGTGCACCTTGTGTTGAGCCCCGCATTACTGCATTTGGGCCACACGAATGCTCCACTGAAAACCTCAAACCACAAAGTCACTGTTGGCCCCAATCACCTGCAAGGGTCTCACAAGTATTAGCAGGCCCTTCGATTTTTTTTTTTACCTTGCCTGATTGGGCAGGCCATGCCATAAATTTGCTTGCCCCAATTACATCAACACTTGCCCAAGATTTCTCGGAATCCACGATTATTATGGTTAATTAACTTAGGCTTACTGCATGCATGCAGTCTTTTATTAGGTCCCCAAAATAGTTGTGCTTCCAATTACATGCCTCTTAGAATAGGGTCGGTATGTTGGAATTTTATTTTTTTTTGTGAATATTTTTGGTCCTGATTGAATGGCATTAACGGACACGACAGCTTCCAAAATTATCTCAAAAAGTAATGAACAGTACACCTGTCTTAATCTATGTAAAAATTTCTACAAGCGACAATTCACAAGAATTATGCGCAATTCACACAGTGTGACTCAGGCAATCACTACGGCAAACTGGCCAACAATGTATCGCGTGCTAAGCGTACGTCAGGCATCCAGACCAGTGGGCGAAAAACCTTGTGCTGCCGTAGGAAATTTGTTGAAAGACGCTTGCTTCAAGTACAAGCAAAACAAACTCAAATTAAACTCATGAACACAGAAAATACACACATAAATAAGAGACCAAGTTCTGTGAAGGAACTTACAGAAAACCCCTTGCAACATCGATTTTTTTTAACCTGTGGCTTTAGGGTTGCGTGCATGTATGGCCGATGTAGAGTAATCAACTGGAACATACAGTACATATGTAGACTGGTTCTGGTTGCTACATTTTTTGCATGGGCGCGGCGCAGCGAACCAGAGCAGCTTCGTTGAATGCATTGAGCTGTGGGCACATGTTTTCACCACAGCGACAGTGAAACGTGAATGAGAACTTGTGAAAAACAGAAGTTTCTTTCCAAAAATTGCAAACATAAGTACGAAAACATACAAAACAAGCATTTTAATGTGAGAAAAAGTTATTGAAAGATATTTTGTCAAGACAGAAAAGACATCAGCTCTTCTGGACTTGCCCGAACGGGCATACCTAGTAAGAATTTTAATTGCCGAATGAGAATTTGATTGCCCCGGGCTATCGGACAGGCGATTCGTCGCAGGTTGAATATAAGGGGGCAGAACCAAACTAAGACTGTATGCACGTGTAATGTACTGTACAGTAAACTCCGGCTAAGTCGGCTCTCTCGCTCGGGACCCGAGATAGTGTGCAATGGTTAAGTTATTCAATAAGGCGACCCCCAAAATCGACAGCGCGCATGCGTGTAGCACTAGAGGGGTCACTGGTATTGATGTGCTCAACCACTTGCTGTTAATAAACAGACATCAGTCAAGCAGTGTGGGGCGGGGCTTGTCACTTGACGCTTCTTGGCAACCGTGGGGAAGGAAAGCAATACCGAAGCGCAATTTTTTTAATGCCGACTTATCACGAAGGATTTTATTGTGGTCTTGTAGAAAAGGGACCGAGTGAAACATGCCGACTTATGAGAAATGAATGACGACTTAGAAATGCTGACTCGGAAATGAGGTGTGGGTATCAATCCAAGTAGCCCCTCTAGTAGCATGCATGTGCTCCGTCCATTTGGGGGGTTGCCTTATTGAGCAACCTTTACCGCTAATGTACCGGGGGAGTATGCGTGGAAATGGCTTTTTCTGTACGGTGCCAAGACATGATATGATAATTTAATGTTCACAATTTTTATGTTGAAATTCACTTCCCACCAGCATTAGAGTCATAACTATAGAGATAATATCGATAAATGTACATGCTTTTTTCCTGGCTCTCAAGACATACATGTGGTGGTGATTTCAGTCATGTTTATTTTATGAATGGAAAATGACATCATCACGATAATATCGGATATCACGATATTTTTTCATGATATTGCGATATAAGAAATGAGTATCAAACAGGCATGGTCATTTCACTCCAATGAAGCAGAACCTCCGGTTTGTGAAACCTGTCTTCTGTAGAGCAGGTGTTATGTTTGCAGCAGCTGGCCTGTAATAAATTGGTTTCTTCCAAAAAAAATCATGTAGTGGTACATTCTTCAGTGTATTGTTTCAAACATCTGACATGCATCTTGGCACATGCTTAAATTATATACATGTATTGTTCTTGCCATCAGACATGTACGGGTACTAGTATTCCATCCATGAAACCATGTGTGAAAGAGAACACTGGTCAGAAATAATGATGTGTCAAATATGTGATCTGCGGAAGCCATTGTGATGTTATATGTATTGAAATGCCCCTGTGCTGCATTGCGATAATTAATCACCACATTTACGTCACTCCTGTCAGTTCAGTCCAGTTGAATCATTTGTAGTTCCTACTGTTTGAGTCGCTTAAAAAAAAATTCATGTTTTACTTGCATTGAACATTCAGTTTTGTGCCCAAGCGGTGTTCATTTTTTATTGTGAATAATTTGGTTACTTTTTTTTTAATTACACGTATTCTTTTCCCTGTAGTTATGCGGCGGTATTGGTTTAATACACCATAACTGCACTCCAGAATTTCAAGCCAATGAAGTCCGCAAAGTGAAGGTGAGTGTATAGTATAATGGTGATGTAAGATTGTTGTGAGTAGCAATGGACTCTCACACAGATTAGGATTCATGTAGTCTTTACAAATAACTTTATGAGTAAACAGCAGATATTTAGCCATCGCCAGCAATTGAACTAAACGATATTAAATTACCACCAGATTCCTAGTATTATCTATGGTGTAATAGATATAAGCGTATCTTGACATCACATGATACTCTCCCAGCTTGGGTCGATCCCAGCTGTTTTTTTCTCCCCTCCCACCCCCCCCCCAAATTAAGAATATTCATCTTTTGGTATGTTTGTATTGACTCAAACATGTGCATTTCATTTTTTAATTTGTGGCCCTGGGTTTATTTTTTTAGGGGAAAAATGACCCAGATTGTAAAATGGTCTCATTCCTACCTTGTGAATACGAAGTCACGACTACATTGTATGTTGATGCAGAACAAGACTAAGATATTAAATTAGATTTGCCAGCAATGGCTAAAAATCCACTGCCTTATCAATGGGATTTAACACACAGATACAGCGAAGTATTAAAGCAGTGAAGTGAATACATTTTATGTAGGCCTGTGCACATTCTACATGCTGACTGTAGACAAGAGTGCCAAGCAACCACGTAGGGCTCATGATTGTCCTCAAGTGCAAAGCCATGTCCAGAAGTACAGGTAGTCTTCTAACCTACAGAATGTTTGTCAACACGTTGGGAAAGCTGATCAGGAAGCTGTGAACGTGACTGTTTGCGCATTGGTATAAGAGAAGGTGTGATAAAAAGGGGCCAGTCGTGGTTGATTGCCGATACATCTAAACCTGTTTGAAGGAGTACAGATAGTGGTTGATGTCCCGTGGGCTTTTCTGTGCTCGTTTCTAGAAATACGAACAGGGCTTCATCATGGATCCTGTCTGCATGGGGCCAGACGACACTGTGGGCTGCGTCTTCTCTGCCAAGGTGACCCACGGCTTCTCTGGTAAGACGTTGATCTCTCGGTTTTTATATTCCTTTGTTAGACACAAACAGCGAAGGTGAACAGATTCCTGGTTCTTTGACTCAGTCACTCTGACAGGGATTAGATTTTTTTATGTATGGGACAGTCTTTTATTGAAGGACGTGTGTTAAACGCAGTATGGTGTAATGGTACAATTTGAATTTCATGTTACCGAAGTCATGGAAGAACATTCGTCATGGTATTGGTTGACACTGGAAAGTTTACATTCTTTGCCTCGGGGTGCCATGCATCCCCCGGGTGTTCAAAACATCATGTTCCACACCACAGCAGTCAACAATTGTTTTATAACAGTTCAGAAATTCCATCAGGGTGGCATATCGCTGATTTTCTGTACTGCAGTTATTGTTACATCCTTGAGTCGCTACATCCTTACTGTACAGGTGATATTGTGGACTACAAAATGCATGTGTACATTGTACTTGGCCCAATCGCTCTCTACAGAAGGTGTTTTTAACATACACAAACAGAATAGATAGGCCTGTATACTGCGAATGTACATGCCCTGACCAGCCTCTTGTCAATGGGACAGGTTCTTTTGTCTGGAAATGAAAGACAGAGTTGTTGGAGCAAAAATGTGTCCTCCCTCTAACTATCATTGAACATGTGTGTATTCCCCACAACTAAAGTACCAATAAATACGATTAGGCCTTCCCAAGGGGAACAAATTCTATTGTAAGGGGAAGTCAAACCACGCCGAAGCGACAGAAAGTTGTCCTCACAGGGTTTTGGTCCCCACAGCATCAATTTTTCAACGCATGTGTAGTTCCCACAACCTGGTAACAAATAAATGTGTGTCGGCCTGCCTTGTGATTGAGAAGACAATTTCATTTGTTACACATGTAGGAAAGTCGGAACCATGTTGGAAAAAACTTGCTCCCACAATGTCTATATTTCAACATGGGTGTGATTCCCATAACCCAGTAACAACCACATGTGCACATACTCTACTTTTTAAAAAAAAGGTAATCCTGAAACAATGGGTTCATTCGGGTACATGTAGGCTGAAGTTATGAGAACAGTGTCGGCGTGGAAATTTATTCATGTTAAAAACTGCTTACCTCTCAAAAGACATGCACGTCTCGGCATCATTTGTTTAAAAGCAAAAGGCACTCCCCCCCCAAAAAATAGGCCTCATTTAGTAGTCGCTGTGTGTGCCTGCCCTTTTGCTGCATCGTCCACCAGTGACAATGATACATGTATGGCAGTAGTGTTTCATAAATGTATGGCTCCAGAGAGATTATCATTGAAAGAAAGAGCTCAGCCACTCCAAACCGCACTGAAAGCATACTGTGGGTTTGGCAAGAATTAACCTACATTATTGAGCATACACGCTGCATATTTTTAAGCTATTGTTCAGAGATGAGTGGGTTTTCGGTCATCATGACAGCAGGAATTGGGATGAATTTTTAATGCAGAATTGACAAGCCCTCTTTTTAAAAAAATTTAACACCGGTATTCCTCATCTTCATAGCATATCTGCCAACCGTTCCAATTTAATCAGAATTGTCGCAAGTATTAAGTTTTCAGACCGCAAATAATCAGAACATTCAGGTTTCCGTAAAAAGAAAAAACTTGTGAAAATAATAAGTCTCTGCGAAAGTGGGCGCTATTGCAGAAAAAAGAGGGCGCTATTTGCTATGTCAAAATGGTAGTTGTTACATGTGCATGCGTGAACATGTTTGTAAGAAAATGGCTTCTCTCGCGCAGCTGTTTGTTTTGCTATGGCCTCGGAGAATGGGTTTTCCAGTCGTTTTTTTTTTCTGACTTTTCAGTGTTGGCAGGTGTGTCATACACGTAGGTGTAAGGCACAACTCATTATTTTGGATTACGTTTTATGGTGCGTACAGGGGAACTAGGTAATCCCTTGTCACTCCATACGGTGCAGTGTGAAGTGCCACCAGCTGACAGAAATTGGAGTGCAGTGTTGGTGCGCACATCATGTACATTTTGCTTCACTAGGCAGTGCCGTCATTTGCAGGGATCTAGTCTGGTGCCTCAACAGTTCAAAAAGTTGTCAGTCGTACATACATGTGTGTCTATAGTGGTGCCTTTGTGTTCCAATTAACATAATGTATACACTGATTTTATGCTCTGTTTGCAGATGACGAAAACTCTCAAAAGAAATCCAAATCCATATTTGGTGGGTTATAATCACACACCTCATGAATCTTGGCTTTCTGAGTTTTTTGTACTCGTATTTGGAGTGTTGTTAACAACTCTTCCATCTTCTCGGGTGACTGTGTTAATTCCCTTCATCTGTGTGGCAACCTTGCAAAAAAAACCTCATGCAGTCATATGAGTCTTCTTAAAAGTCATTCTCTTCACGGTTGCTCAGACAAAAATACCAGTAAATTAAAAACTAAATGTACAATCTCCTAATGCTCCCTTTCAGTTCCTTTCCCCCATCTCGAAGAAATATTTGTTGAATATTTGTTAAGCACTGTTTGTGACATTTATTGTCAAAATTTAAAAAATCATATGTTGAAAAGGAAGTCATACAGTACCAGTATTACTCATTTGCCTGTTTCACAAGCTTACTATGGTGATTTTCTGTTTGGAACTTTGTCCAATTAAGTTATCAAGAAATCCAAAAAGTCAAAAGATTCTTTCTTGAGATCTGAGAAAATCCCGCTGTGTGCGTGGAAATGCTTAAAACTCCATTCTGAAAGCAAAAATGGAAAAAAGTACCTTCTCAGCCACGTGCAATTTATCATTTCATCCTTTGCTTAACATGTATTTTTGTCTATACATGTACATGTACATTTATGTTCATCATACCATACTGATAAGTACTTACATGTACATAATGAGTACAGTGTATGTCTTTGGTCTTACATGCAACATAATACGTGTACATGTACCTTTGAATTTGCCTAAGCTCTGATATTCATTAAACTAACCTCATCTGTGTCTTAAGATTGCATAATCATTTTTCAGTTCAAGATACATGTACATGTCAATATAAGACACATGTTATAAGGTTTTTTAATACACGTGTGCTTGCACCCTTGTCAAGTGCTAATGTAGTTTGCTGTGTGCAGTATCAAAAGCACCCTTCAATCTTGGTTCTTGTGTCTATTTAATAGTCTTTGGGGGGTGTTGAACTCACATACATATGCTATGGGCTTTTTATTAACCAAAAGGCAGTTGGATTCTTGTGCAGACAGAGACGCTATTTTTTTGTTGTCATTATCCATTGTGGACAAATTAGATGTGCTTTAACGGGAGTCTTGAGCACAAGACTTAAAGACGGTGGTTCTGCCAGGCTACTTGTATTACATGGTCTTCTGCGGTCTACAGCTATTCCTGGATGCAGCCTTCTCTCAAGGTGTCGACGCACCTTAATGTGAACAATCATACATGCACCTAGCAGCAAGAAATTTTAACCTGGGAATTTAACCTGTTATTATACTTGTGACTGTCTCCTCAAAGAAAGGGGAAAAAGGTCCGTCACAACTTAGCGCTTCTGGGGCCAAGTTTCAATTTCACACGTAAAAAAAGTATTGCTTCAGTTTTACAAGTGCAAAATGAAAAGCAGTTGGAAACCAGCTTTTAACAGTGTCAGGTCGAGTAAGTACGTGTAACTTTCTTGGTACTCGTCAAATTTGTGAGCTCAACCAAAAAAAAAAGGAAGGCTGTTCACAGCCTCGGTGGCTTCCTTGGCCTGAAATGTCGGAGATTATTTCTTTTCCCTCCTGGATGGAGTGCTAGTCCATTGCAGCTTGCTCTTTAGCTGACAATGTTGACTTGTAGTCAGGTCCATCCGTACTCCTTTCACCAGTCCATAACAATAGTTCAGTCCCAGGTCATTTCATATGACCAGTCACCAGGGCTCAAAAAGAAATGACTTTGTCACAGTTTATTGTGATTTGGCTCATAAGACTTCATCTATATGACTCATGACAGACTCGTGGTAGGCTCAACTACGTCACTGCCAGAGAGTGCTGACACCCATTCACATATACCGGTACATGTACAGTCCAAAATGGAAAGGCGTAAGGAAGGTTGTACCAGCTTGCCAAAGCATGCAACACATGAAAAACTGTTTGTCATGTTATGGATTTTAATGTTAAACCATTGTACATGCACATGCACAGGTAGTTGTTGAGCTTTGCAAATACCAAATTTTCCTTGAGACGTGTTCTGTGTAGAATTCTGTTTGACAGTGACAGCTTTCACTCACGTCTTATTGCAGGCATACCGATCACAGACACCGGTACATTGGGCGGCAAGCTCCTGGGTATTGTCACCGCCCGCGACATTGACTTCCTGAAGGCAGACTCTTACAGCACCTCTTTGAAGGAGGTGATGACCAAGCGTGACGATCTGGTGGTTGCATCCGCCAACATCACGCTCAGGGAGGCCAACGTCCTGCTGCAGAAATCCAAGAAGGGTAAGTGGAGGAGGGCATGTAGCCATTCCATGGTGGAAGTGGGATAACAGTCACACTCAAAACTGTGTTTATTTTACCTTGGAATGTAGGCCTCACTCCTGGATCCAGGACTACATGCTCTTGCAGAGGGTGATCATCTTGTGGGAAAAGTATCCGCCCAAAATCTTAACCCCCCCAAAAGAAAACTTGAACAGAAGATCATTGACGGTGCTATAACTTTTGATGTGTGTCTCAAACACCTGACCTCACTTCCAAACATCACCCCCAAACTTCTGATGTTTTGAAACGAGATTGCCCTTAGTTGTTCATCTCAGGCCTGCAGCCAGCATCATTGTGCAGGCTATTCCATAAAAAGTTAATTTCAACATGAAAAGTGGCCAACTTTTGCGCCGCTGTAGTACCCCTATGATTAGGCCTTAGAGACATGCAACAATTCATCTGTGTATTTTACTGGTGCATAAGCTCGAATTTTTACCCTACCAAAAGTAGCAGTGTTACATGTACCGAGGGAGCAACAAAGTTTAGCAATGTTCCACCGCTGCTGTTGCCCTTGTAATCAATAATTTTGTGAGGGAGTCTTCAATCACTCAAGCCTGAGAAGTTGAGAACAGGTGTATTGAGGATGGATGGGATTCATAATTCATGTTGGAAAGGTATTACAAGCATATGTGCACCTGCTCAATTGTGAGGTGTTCTGGTGACTGGTACTGATTCAGCGTAGGACTTAGTAATTTGACTCTTTTTTGTCTTTTGTGGCCTTTTGGTTATGCATGTCGTGAAAACAAATGTAGATGGTGAAATATATTTTGCATTCTTTTTTTGTCATAATGAACATCACTTTTGAAGGACATACAATCTCCCAGCTGTGCTTTTCATCAATAATTTAATTGCAAATGCCATTTCAGTAAATTGGAAGTTGTTACCGTTATTATTACTGCATGTACTGATGTGACTTCAACCGTACAAATGCCCCAAAGGTATGCAAGATTAAAAGGCACCTGTAAACAGGAAGCACAATGCGAGTATGATGAGAATTTCTTACTGATCATTACTGATCATTGAAGGGCTTATATTGTTTTTTTTCCCCCCGTCACTTTTAAAGTTGGGAAGTGCACATGTCATTATTATTCACTACGAGGTTTGTCAAGAATTAAGTTGACTTATCAAATAATTCTCCTGAATTTGTAGAGTAAAACTTTCATTGAAGAGACTGTAGGATTAAAGTCACACCTCTCACAGTTTTACCACGTTTTGAATGCGTTCTTCACAGGTAAGCTACCGATCGTCAATGAAAAAGACGAGCTGGTGTCGCTGATCTCACGAACAGATCTGAAGAAGCATCGAGAGTTTCCGCTGGCCTCCAAGGACGCCCACAAACAGCTTCTTGTCGGGGCAGCCATCGGGACAAGAGAGGAGGATAAGGCCAGACTAGAGTTGCTGGCCCAGGCCGGTGTGGATGTGGTTGTCCTGGTGAGCAAGAGAGCCTTTGGAATCGGTGGTTTATGAGTTGGAGATATTGTAGTCTTAGTAAGATATGGTGATGTACTCTGATTAAGCAAGATCAAAATTTGGGGCGGATACAGAGATGAAATGTTTCCAATGTCAATTCCAAATTTTGTTAAGGTTTTTTTGTCCAAACCTCTGATTTGCACTCAATTCTTTTTATTGCGGAGTCTCATCTTTTGATTTAAAGTTTGATGAATTTGGCTTAAACGGCTTTGTGCCAGCTGCATTCTGGGCGCAATTTGAGTCTGTAATCAGTGCACAGATTACATGATGGATGCACACAGTGAGCTACGGTTGGATTATAGCTCAGCTGAAAATAAATTGAAGCCTAAACATGTGACCTGCCAGTACAAAGCTTAATGAAAGTCACACATGTTCCCACTTGTCGCACAAATTGCTATAAAAAATCTACCCCAACATTGGCCAGAATTTTAATGTAATGCAGTAGTTCTTATGGCTGATAGTTCATCAGGAAAGATTTCCATGAGGAACACTCTGAATCTCACTTGGTTACCCTGTTGGCTCATGGGGTTTATAATAGTGTTTTGGTGGTGCTATTTTGAATCACCTCCTTTTATTGGAGTTTGGCTTGTAGGGTGACTTCCCCGTATGGATCTCTTTCTCTTTTTCTTGCTTTTATACTCTTATTTTTATAACTGGAATTTTTTTTTTGTAAGTAATGTTGTAATGTAAAGTTTAATTGATATAATTGTTAATCGTAATGTAAATTTGAATTGGTTTTGGCCTTTGGCCACCTTGATTCAAATTTAACAAACCATAATAAATAAGTAAATAGATAAAAAACACATGGGGCTGAATCTGTAAAATCATGTTGTTCAGCACAGAGACTGCCAACAATAGTTTCACAGGCCCACTCTCCAACAATGTATGTACATGTACATACATGTACATGTACTTATTGTGTAGATGTTTAGTCCCCAGTGCCTAATATATGCATTCGGAACTGGCTGCAACCCGTACAGTAAGTGCACCGGTCAAATTGTGGAAACTTACAAAGCACTAGGATGAGTGGCTCTGTGTCTGTAGTGAGGTATTGTGAGAGATGAACACTTCGGGAAAACTCTCACTTGCATGAATGTCTGTCAAGGGTATGGTGAAAGATTTTTATCAGATGAAATCTTTTGTTCAACCAAGCGGATCGATTTGTTCACAGAAATTTTTCATTACATTTTCCAAATCAGTTTTCACTGAGAGTGTGTAGTGATGAAAATTATTTTTGCGGTAATATTATGGACATGTATGTACATGCTCAAAGCTTTCTTTGTGCCCAGATGATATCAGTGAAGATGTGTTGCTTTTTTTTTTCAAAGCAGCTCCATGTTGAAGTGATTTATTCTGCCAACACAACAGTTACGAAAGAACCAGAATCTTGGCCACTTTGGCTTTTTGTTTCTCTTGATGTTCCCAACATGCTTACTTCCATTTCTTCACCTTTTTTGACTGGCAGGATTCTTCACAGGGCAATTCCTCCTTCCAAATCAACATGGTCAAATACATCAAGCAGACCTACCCAGACATCCAAGTTGTAGGAGGCAATGGTACGTACAGTGCTTTAGGGAGGCCAAAGAGTCTACATGAATCCAGTTACCTCACTGAACTCGTGGACTTCCTCAGTGGCCCTGTCAAAGGATGAAAAGTATCAACCTTTTGAAGCATGGCAGACACAGTAGGAAGATGGGTTCATTTGGATTTAACACGAGATTTTGTCCCATAGTACCCTCCTATTGTGTCCACCATACTTCAGATACTAGTAGGCTAATTGTTGGGTTTTCGGAGAACTTGCCGCAGAACATTAGCTACATATTCATTGATGTAATGTACTGAAATGTGATGTCATTGCGAACCAGAAAGTGCGTTGCAAACGAATGGAGTATGTGAGCTTAGTGGTTCACGTGCTGGTTCTCTCTCACTAACGCCTTTAACGCATAATTGTGTGCGCGACGTATTCATAGAGCAGGCCTCGCACGTCTGAGTGGAATCTCGGATGCACTTCTTGTTAGGCATACATTGTGTTGTTGGAATACTGAACCGGCCGATTCACTCTTCTGCTGAAGGTCGGCATCAGGAATGTCTGATCGTGTAACCATGGCTACTGCACTGGCCTGTATCTGTCAGGCATTTTTGCTCAGAAAACTTCCCGGAATCGTCCCATTAACTGAAAAATCCATTGCGCTTAATCCAGTACTGCCAACTTCATAACTGAATAAAATACTAACATGAGGAATCCAAAGGAAAAACAATTGTACAATTGCCAAATCCTTTAATGCTCCTCTGGCCAACTGTTGACAAGAGAAATCAGTGAACTTGTGAAAATTAAATGTTGATGTCCAAAATTAATGGAAAGCAGTCGGTGTAAAGTTGGTTCATGTATCATTCGTAACTGATGTTCAGAAGTTAAAGTAACAGCATTAATTGTTTTGTTTCACCAATATTAGAACAACAAGGGCCATCCATAAAATCTGTAGGCATGTGGGGGGGTTGGCTTGTGTTTCTTTGCATGGGAAGAGGGAGGTAATAAGAACATATGAAGAAAATTCATTAACAAAACTAAGTCATGAAGAAACAGTCACGGAATGGGGCGGGGGGTGTAATGTGCACGCGCAAAGACTACTAATCCCTCTTTAATTATGAAATTAATGCAATTTTTTTTAATGCAGTCTCTCCACATTTCATTTACCAGGACCAGCTTCATACATTACAAATCACAACAAAGACGTGCCTTTCGTCCTACCTTGTAGTATCGCAGCACTCGGTGTAACGAGTCACAGGGAAACATCGCATGTGCATGCCTGGGAGAGGGTCAAAAAGTTGGCGTTTTTGTACTTTTGTTGACCGGCCAGAACGGTCTGATGAATAAGAAATGCCAGGTGAACTTTTACCACAAGAGAAGTGTGTCAGTGTGTCGTCCTGGCCTGTAATGTCCTGTTTTTGTTGATATCAATGCAGTTGTGACGGCGTCCCAAGCACAGAACCTTATAGATGGTGGAGTTGACGCCTTGAGAGTGGGCATGGGTAGCGGCTCCATCTGCATCACGCAGGAAGGTAAGAACAGAGTGGATTTTTGTTATGCCGGGGGAAACCGGCCGGGAGAACTGCACAAGCAGAAATAAAACACCACTTGAGCATGGCTGTTGAGGAGGGGGCGGGGATACACCCTCCCGATTAAAAAAAAACAGAATCCTCAGTTGACGAGAGCTAAAGTAGGGCTATTCCGAATATCTGGATATTCGATCGATTATCAAATACTATTTTCCAAATTTGAATATTTGAATTCAAAATTCATGAAAAGGAGAGGGGAATTTTCTTTGTTTTAACGAGAAAAATTGCACTATGGAGGCTTGTCTCAAGCAGATTGAAATGCAAAATGATTCAAAAAGTAAATTATTCATTAAACAATTTAAAAGGAATAGAAATTTTCAACAGGGCAAGAAGTATTGTTCATCTCTTAAATCTTGCTAAATCGTGGCTGGAGATACTCCTAGACTTGAGAAGTTATTACAGTGATCAAAATGTACCATTGTGTGCATTATTACAACTGATTTTGTATATGGTGTGTTCAACAATCTGCCTGTCTGTACTGCGTTCTTATTCCTCCATGGTACAACCGAATATTCAGATATTCGATCGAATTGAAGGTTGAATATTCGACTGGTGAATTATTCGACTTGACTCGGCCCTAAGCTAAAATGCAGTCACAAAAATTTGAGGCTTTGTATTTTTACTCCAGTGGGCAATGTATGGTAACTAATGACAAAAATATCTTGCTGACTTGTCAGAGCAGACAATAAATTGGCCAATCACAATGCGCAAAATCTGTCGACTCGGTGCACGTTTGGAAAAGGTCGACAAATTTCACACGTTGTGATTGGCCGATGTGTTGCAGACTGTTGGGGGCACACTTTTGTGAATCAACGGTATTTCAATTGGGTAAGTGAAACCACATTTTTTTATACCCCACATTTTTTCAAATCTGAAAATTGGGCCCTTTATATATACATTGACCTGTGGGTGAGCATTCTTGAATTGTCCAAAGCCAGACAAGAATTTCATCCTTACACTTTGATACCTCTGTGCCTGCATAGTAGCCTGGCTTCACTTGAGTCATTACGAATGGTTCATGGGTGTCTTCAGTGTGAAAACATAACCCCTTTGACTTGAAGCATTCAACATGCAATGTAGAGTACCGAAGTGAATGCGTCGCACGCACAGGTATGTATGTGTGTGCAAGAACCAGGACGTGAACCAATGCGTGCGCGTACTCCATTCATTTGCATTACACATTCTAGTTAAAAATAGCATCACACATCACACATCACACCTCACCATATATATATATATATATATTTATATACTTGTACATGTGAACCTTGAAACTTTTGAACTTGAAAACTTTTGCTTTTCCTTTGCAACATTATAATTCCCAAAATGACTACCGTCTGGATATCTGTTTGGTTTAGGATGGTTTAAATTCTAGGACTGTTGAGTTCAGTTTGTTTTGCTTGCTTCTTTTGGCTGGTTTTGTCTACAGTTTTTTTTATTTACATGTATTTTATAATTTTGTTTACCGGTATATGTGCTTTATGATTTCATTGTATATTATTTGCTTGTTTGTACAACAAAATTTGGGTTGAAATAATTAAAATGCATGTGTTTATAACTGGCAATCCCTTCATGTCTCCGGAACCATCTGAAGCTCTGTGACTAGAGTTGCTATGATAGATCCAGTGATTTTCCGTTTAAAAAATGGGTATTTTCCGTTTCTCCAAATCCTGAATTCTGTTTCAGAAATTTATTTTCCGTTTCATACCTTAGTAAGCATGAAATAAGAGAGCAAGTTTCAAACTACATGTATGCATGGAAACCATTTGCCCAACCATACATATCGTCCCTCCCCCAAAAAAAGTAACGATTATTGTTTTGAAATACTCTGCAATGTTCCAACTTTTTTATAATTTTCTGCAGTGAATATTTTTTTAAACTCCACCCATAAATATGGCTTCCCCTACCCCTTGATTTCCCACCGGCGTGCAATCGTGCTCGTCTCAAACTTGCTACGCTTAATCAACAGACATTTCATGTGCCAGTCCTCGAGTATAAAATCAGTTTACATTTAAATACATACATGTACAGTGAAGTCATAGAGTAGGTCTTGCATGCAACAGTCGTTGATCAAAATATGTTAATGTTGGACATCGACCCACCTGTTTATTAGGCAGTGGTGCAACAAAATTCAAAAAGTTTACGTTAAATCTGAGCCTTAAAATGTATGTTTGTGGCTGAAAACTTCACTCTCCATCAAGCACTTCCGAGGGCCCATTTAGCTATGGTACACCAAGCTTACTACATGTAGGTTTCATTTAAAGTCAAGAAATACGCAATTAGTCTTTCGTTTCACTGCCAAGGTTTTATCTTTTCACCTTGCGATACTAGCCTTGTCTCAAGGCATGTATATGGATTCACAGACTGAATTCCCCACTTGTGCAATAATCATATGTGTGAGTATGAACCTGTTTGCACCTTGATTTCATTGCTAGTGCAGTGCACGTGTGAACGGCCAATGTGTATACCATACCGCGCAGCTGCACTGTACCGCTTGCTGCTGCACACTTGGGCCTCACGCACGCCATAGCGCTTGCAAGTATCGGTACCAGGGCGGACGACCACTATCATGTGGTGGAGTGGTGCCATTAAGCATGTTTCCAGCATAATTCATTCATTAAAAGAAACATTTTAAAAGGGTTGGGCAGGCATTTACAGTGTATTTGTAGTACTTTGCAGAAAAGCTTTCTTTACTTCTTAAGCCATTCTTTGTGGGAAATTTTGCAAGTTCCATTACAAGCAGTGGATTCCAAAGTGCTGATTCCGTGAAAACCGTGTGTTTTCCACCATCGCTGAAAATCACTGGCTGTCCTGTGAGTCAAGTAATCAAAACTTCTTGTGTTGATTGATCAAAATGGGTCAACTGGCCAAACAGATTGACTTACTAAAGACAATGCCAGACAAACACCGTAATATTGAATATAGCGTAGATGATGTGCTCCCCTCCCCCCCTCCCCCCAGGGGTTTCATCTAGGGTTGAAATACCTGCCGGTCTAAAGTTAAAAAGTGCCTGCCCTCTCCCAGGAGAACTTGTAAAATTGGCACCCCTTCCTGCAGTCTGAGATTATGTTTCCGCTGCACCCAGAATTTTGTAAGGAAATGAAGGCTTGCTCGCCAGTGTTAAAAATTGGTGTTAAAAAAAGGGAGTTTGTAAATTTGACCAAATTTATTTATTTTGTAAATTTGACCAAATTTATTTATCTTGATGAGACACTATCCAATATAACATTTGTGGCCCTTACAATATCTGTATTTCACAACAGAACAAATTTTGTGCTTAACATGTCCTTCATTAATTTCCCTCCCCCGGCTGTAAGGTTACCCCCACTGGAACGTCAGTGGTTTTGCTTTCCAATTATGTGTGTTGTTTTCCTTGCATTGTATGGATGCTTTTCTAATGACTTACCCCACCTAGCCATTTTCTGAAAATGTGAAGGCTATTTTGTGGGCAAGTGTTGTAAAAATAGATCTCAACAGAATTCCCCCCCCCAGCTATCAGTAGGGGGGAACGGTTTCAAAATATGTGAACGTCCATGGTAAGGATATAAATTTATGAAATGAACTTTTCAGCTTTGTTAAACTTTATTTATTTCTTTATTCTGGCAAAAAGACAATTTATAATAACAGTCACATTACAAAACACAAAAATACTAAGAATAGTAAAAGGCAGAAGCCAAGAATAGCCCAAGAAAGCTGTAACAAATAGCCTATTTCCATTGGGGTCCTCACAAAAAAGAAAAACATTTATACAGTACTAAAAATATTTAAAAATACACAGGTGGTTAACATAGATTTTGTTGAAAATGTGTAAGATTTTGAAAAATAAACCATTTAAAATTTAAATTTTAAAATTCGAATTTTGATGACAGGTATATTAGGGCTGCTTTTTTAAATTTCAGAGAGTATTACAACTTTTTACTTCATTGGAAAGCGAATTTCAAAAGTGTACTCCAGTATAGAAGAAAGTGTTGCATTCAGGCCCCTTTATACAGGGAACAACAACATTGGATGTACTACTCCTCATGGAACAACTGTGCGTATTTGAAACTCTTGAAATTCTCACAAAGATAGTCTGGTGCCATATCATGAAAAATTTTATGATTCTGATTCAATTCAGCTGTATTACCCGATCATTTACATTTTATAAAAAACTCAACCTAGTCAATGCTGCTTGTCCAATATGAGATCTAGGACCTAGGCTTAGAATAAAATGGACAATCTTATTTTGAGTTATTTGCAACCTCTTGTTTAGTGCAGTAAACAGTGCAGAAAACCAGGATGAGCAACAATAATCAAAATAGCATGTTATGAAAGTGGACCATAATTTACAAGATCGCTCATTTAAACAATTTGCATCTCTATATAAAAAACGTACTGCACTGGCCTTTTTGATGGCAAAATTGGCAACATTCTAATAATTTAAACTTTGATCCAGTGTAATGCCCAAGTAATTTACACAATATTAGAAGCTTATAATTTTCCCGTCACAAATCACTTCAAATTTGTCAACTCTGCTGAGTTTCTGTTTAGATCCAAATAGAACAGTCTCAGTTTTACCGACATGCAAAGATAGTTAATTATCAATCAGCCATTGTCTGCTTGATTCCAGCTCTGCACTCAGGCTATTGGCTATTGCTTGGGGGTCCTTGCCGGAAATAAAGATGGCACTGTCATCAGCATACAACAACAGATTTGATCCAACACTTCTTTGCATGTCGGAGCAACAGTGTCGAGAATTTGCTAAACAGTGTTTTTGAAATTGTCCCAGGCTTTGATCAATATCACTACAATATACGTTAGACCAATCAGCATGGGACAGTCACAACAGAAAGTCCTCTATGCAATAGTCCCGATCATGGTAATATTATGGTCACTACACATTGGCTTTTTTGACACCTTGCAAGAACAATAGATGGGAAAATGATCACTCAAACCCAAATTTTAAATCCCTGATTGGCTATTCTTGTCTCCATGGTTACAAATAACATGATCGAATAAAGTCGAACAGGTATTAGAAGTACAGTTGGGATCTTTGATAAGTTGTTTAGCAATCAAACATTTCCAAAATATTTTTGTAATCCCTAAACTTAGTTTCAAAGTTCATTCTTATTCAGTCTTAGGACTTTCAACACTAATGACCTCACCAAGTTTTTTATTCTGAAAACGTGATGTACATGTATGTGTGCGCTTGTACATGGTGCCTTGTGGGGTACCGGAACAATGGAAGGTACCCCACAAGGCCCGTTTTGATCCTTGGGGGTACTAACACTAACCCTCTAGGGTGTATGTAAAATCGTATTGAAATTGGAGGATTTGGGACTGTTAGGGTTAAAGTGGTACCCCACAAGAATTTCACGAAATAGATATTTTAAATTTACTCAAAAAGGAGGAATTTTCAAGTGCCATTCATCATCGCAAGTGTTTTATATAAGGGACATACAGTCGAAATTTCAACCCAGGAAACTGAATTTGGTTGAAATGGCAGTGATTTGAAATTTTGTTCAGGTTGTGTGGGAGTTTTGTACACAAGAACAAAGGAAATACCCCACAAGTATACATATGTATTGGCTTATGTGTGTGTGTGTGTGATTTTGTTTC